TGGAACTCGAATAGAAATTTGTTTCATCTACCATGTATTACAGTAAATGCTCTTCTTTGAATATTTTCCCTATGAATATATTGCACAGTATCGTTAGACTGCATTTTAAATTCTCACGGGTCGATGCTAAACAGAAAATATACCCTCCGTATATATTTCGCGCATATTCACTCCGGAATTTTCAAACTAATCATGAAAAATTATCACATCGCATCTCGTCGTATTGCGATCGTATTATTTTCTGCTATTAATTCAATTATATTATACTTTATTACACGCGCAGACGTACCTCCGTCTCACGAAAAATTGCATTCTCGTCGCAGAATAAGGTCGCGCGCAAATACTCTTTGTACCCGCTGTAAACACAACGTCAACAAATACATCTGAAGGATTAAAGAAGAAAAAGAAATATTTAGAAAAAAGACAGGGCACGTAGAAAGGGGAAAATCGACAAAAGCGGTATAATTTCCATCGCGTCGCGGGCCACCGGGATGGATTAAGGGGTGAAGCCGAGTGGGAGGGTTAAATCGTCGAAACGCGAGGGAGGATGAAGAGGCTGGCTAAAAGCTTGTTCACGCTGACAAAGAGAGAGAGAGAGAGAGAGAGGGGCGAGCGAAAAGAGAGAAAAAGGAACAGAGAACAGGGAGGAAATAAGGGTAGGTGGGTGAACCAGACGAAAGTATCTCCATCGCGAGTACAAAGGCTCTCTCTGGATAAAATGCCATGATTAAAAACTCTCTCCTCGTAGACTGGCACGTGAGTTTATACACACGTACGCTCGTGAGGGTGTCGGAACGCCCTTTCATCGTCCCGGCTCGCCGTTTCTCTCTACAAATGAAAGCCAGGCGTCGGATGGCCGGACAGTGGCAGAGATCGAAGAAAGAAAATGGACAGTAGGTGATGACAGCTAGATCGGCGTCTAAAGCGGCGTTCTCAAGGGATGAAACGACGGCCTCGAGCGGTTGTTTAAAAACGGAAACGTTGCAGTCGTATTTGTTATTATTGCGGTAGACTAGAGAGTTTTGGTGGTTGAATTTCGACTAGGCGTAGAACGAGAGACGAAAGAGAGGATTGTTTCTTATTATTAGTGAATTGGGTGGACTTCTGTTCTTATTTTCTTTGTCTACCATGACCTCGAAAGATTTAAGTCTCTTCTCTTCCGAGCCCTGAAAACTTGCTGCACCGTTTCTTCTTCGTCGTTCCATTAATCTTCGATGAATATTCAAGAAAGTGCGGCACACAGTTGAAAAGTTTCGTCGGGCATGGTGAAACAAGAACATGGTGCTTCCTCAACAAGGTCAACGAACTTGTTCTTTGAACTACAAAACGGATACAAAAGACGTGTGTAACACGTAGGGGATGCGTCGGAGTAACACGTACGCGCTGGCAAGGGATGATTGCTCATAGAAAAATGAGAAGGAACGGTGGAACAAAATCTTTTGAGCCGCGGCTTCGTTTCTTGCCACGTTTAGGCAAAAATTCTCTTTTTATTTCTCTACGTGTCATTCCGACGCACCCTCTGTATAAAAAGGACGCTCTGTATAAAATGTTAAACGTGCCACGTGTGCGCGTGTACCTTGTTACCGCGATCTCTATTAAAAACCTATTAAAAGGTGGGCGTTTCGCGTTTCTCTGGATTATTAAAAGCGGCGTGAAGAAAGAGAGAGAGAGAGAGAGAGAGAGAGAGAGATTGGAGGCGGTTGTGCAAGAGTAACCACGAAGGGGAGAGAAAGAAAGTAGACGACACGTTGTTTTAATTAAGCGGCAGCCGAGGAGAAAAAAAGTGGAACATCTTTTCCGAGGCAGCCGTGTTTCCTCTCGGGGAGACAGAGAGGCACCCATTCGGGCCGCGTCACAATTACGCCACCTTACGTGCGGATTTAATTATTCTCGGCCGCGTATTCGTATTCCAATTAATTACTGCTGGTCGGTCGCTGGCGAGATTTTCGCAACGGCGCGAAATGATCTGCCGCGATCCGAGACGTGGCGCGAGAGAAAAGTGAGAACGAGGCGAGGCTCTTTTTATTCGTTCGTCAAAGTCTCTTGTTCCTCCGCGAGAAGGACCAGAGAATCCTTTCTCTCTCGTCGCTCTAATTTGTTCGATCGATTTAACCAAAAAGTGGCGCTGCTGCGAGAGGGGATTTTAAATTGAAATTAATATTTTGTAATCGTTACAAGGAGAAAGATGAGTGAATTTGAAAGAATTTAAAACGAAATTCTATACGAAGGTTAGAAAAATTTCTCCCACAATCACAGTTTTTTTCAAGCGCGTTATGAATGTCTTGTTTTATGTAAAGCTTGTTTCACATAAAATATTTAAAGTTAATTTTTATACCGTTCTGAAGCTAAGTGTAATAATGAACAGTCGGCAAGTATAAAAAGGAATCCCTTTTAGCGGCGCAATTTTTAACTAGATCGACGATTGTTAATTCGTGCAAGGATGACAAACCACACGTGAAGAAGTTGTTCCATGAAATATGAGGTTAAACCTAAACTTCTACACGGTTCTCGATTTTCTCGATTTCTAGAATCAGGTATTTAGGTAACATTTAATAATCTATTAATTAATTTCATTAGCTTTTGTGATACTCTCCTCGTCTGCGTTTCATCTTTATATATATATTCGAACGAATTTTATTCTTTATTTCTGAGAGGCAAATAGATGGAGAGATTTCTTTCGTCAGGACAAAAATGGTAAGTTAAAGTTTCTCCGCCAAGGATCCAGACTCTAAGTACCAAGCTTGGCAATTTAATATTTGATCGTTTCTTTCATCTCTTTCCCTTTGTCTTTTAATTTTATAATGCGCAATGAAATTTATTGAATTAATTTCATAATGCATTTCAATGAGAGATGCTCTCATTTTTTTAACAGGCAGAGATTATTTTTATTAATATGAAAAAAGGATGGCAAATTAAATGAAGGTCTGTCCAAGTACCAATCGCTCTTTTCATTTCTTTCTCGCGTTTTAATTTTCATGCATTCCAATGAGAGACATTTTCATTTTCAACAAGCAGAGATTATTTTTATTCTGTTTTTTACGGGGGGAGGAGGCAAAGGGGTGGTAAGCTAAAGTTTGTCTAGGATCTAGATTCTAGAACGAGCTCGAGTTCACGATGGCAAGGGGATTCCACCATCGATCCACCATCAAACCGAAGTGAAGAGGACCCACGAAGACAGGAAGCCAGAATCTGTTTAAACGCTGGAAATAAAACCATCTATCGACTGCGAAACGAACGAATAAACGAGTTGGCGCTGTTGAAGCTCGTCTTTTTCATTGCTCCTTTAACCCACCCCTTTTCGCGTTCGCGCGATTTACTTCGCCCCAGCAAGGGAGCAACGATTCTCCACAAACCTGTTTAATAGTCCTACGTGTTTATTCGCCCTTAAATTCAGCGATCGCCTCGCACAAACGAGCAGAACGATTCCTCTTGCGAACGACGTAATCGCGATCGAACCTCCACGCGAGCAACCGTCTGCATTTCAACGCCGTCCCATAAAATTGCGTGTCGAAACACCGTAAAAACTGCAAGACCATCGTGTTTTTATCAATTTCCAATCGTCCCACTTTACAACGTTTTCGTATAAAAAAGATTCGAACGATCTCGGAGAATTTTTTTTCGCTTCTCGCTTTTTCTCTATTGTCGCTTCTCTGCGTACATGTCGCGACTAACGTGAATTACTTCGAGGAAACGCGTGGTCACCGAGTATATTTATCGTGGCTAATCTCGAAGAGGCAATCGAGTAATTAATAATTGAAAAGACTAGATAAATTAACCCGTTGCCTTATTTTTCTCATAGATCGACGTGTATACGGCGCGAATCAGTAAAACAATTGTTGTTGATAATTAATAACTAAGGACTATATTTTATTTATTTCAGAAGAAACTCAACAGACGGAATCGCAATTTAATTTCTCACGTTCTACATTTTCGTTCTACAGTCGACTTGCTCCGTAATTTTTTGAATCGAACAAAGTGTTAAAAAAAAAAAAAAAAAAAAGAAAGTCGTACACGACCGGTCGTGCCTGATGAATCTTACGCGCAACGTCGGGACGAAAGAATGTTTCAAAGACGAGTGGTAAGGAAAATGCAGCGTGTTTTTAGAAAAACGGAATTATATTTCATAAGTGCAGTGAGTAAATGTAAAATACACTTTAGAATACATTTGCTATCGGCTAACACGGCAAAGAACATGATATCCATATTGTGAACTTCCTCTGATCTGCTATCGCTATCTGAAGATAAGTCAAGAGAGAGGTCTAAGTAGAAATTGAACTTCCACGCAAGTGCAAGTACAAGTTTGCTTGAACTTCGTTGCGTTCGAATCTGTGAATCGATGCCGCAAGTGTATCACTCGGTATTATAAGGCAATGGGTTAAACGATCAATCGTTTGATGATGAACGAACACGGATTGCAAGGAAAGAGAGAGAGAGAGAGAGATCGTTCAACGTGGATCGAGGGGAAGGTAAGTACTTGCACGATCGTTCGATTCGATATAAACTCTTGGAACGCGATATACGCTCTTACACAATGATCTTAGAACGCTAACTTAATTGCTAGGATGCTCTTACGATTAATCGATCCTAAGCTCTCTGTTCTCTACGTTATATAAAAGACACTGAACTCGTTTCCCTTCCAGCAGACTTTCTGTCGTAGAAAAATCGGCAACCGTTCCTTTCTTTCTTAATTGCTTACTACGCCCTGTCGAACGATCCACGAATTAAATTCCTCAGACGAAGATATAGATTTGTCTCGTGTTTTCGTATGTTCTTGTATGATTCAAAGTATCAATGCTTCATCATCCATAGATCTTTGCGTGTACAAAAATTTGACGGTGCAAAAAGAAAAAAAAAAAAAAAAGAAAATGTACACGCAGCGCAACACGCGAAGATATATAAAATATACATAGAGCAGAATATTTATACGCGTCAAACAAATTTCCATTTCCATTCTCCTTCCGTTCTGCGCATACAAAAATCATCCGCAGTCCAATTCATTTAACCCTGGATAGGCTAAGAAAGATCGAACGATTGGAGATTGTCCAGAGATGATCCAGCGATCTTCGTTTCCGCCCTCGTCCGTCCCTTTTACAGGAAGGTGCTCCAGTAGACGACGTTCAGGATGAGAAAGGAGAACGGGAAGAAGAATCTGGAGAACTTGTCGATGTAAATGGCTGTTGCTCGGCCCTGGCAGCAGGTGTCGTATTGCACGGTCGCAGGTCTGACGGGGCTTCTGCTCCTCTCGGACTCGTTCCTCATTGGTGTCTGTTGGGAAGAGACACGTTCAACAAAATACCACCAAGCTTCTCGGGGTAAAAGCCGTAGCGAGAAGATTTAGCGACGAGGGTTATACAGCTGCATCCGGTTGACTGATTGCGAGGCAACAGAACGTGAAAGCAAATAAAAAACGTACATAAAGCACGGAGGGATGGCTGATGGATCAGCAGATTGTGAATGTTTTGTATATTCATGGGAAATTTGAGGACGCGAATGTGTCGAAAATAGCGTGCTTGGTAATACTCTGGTGTTCACAAAAATATGGAATTGCACTGTTGATGCGGGTGATCTCGTTTTAAATCAATTATTATGTTACCTTTTCTTCTTATAATAATTATTTAATTTCGCTGGTTTAGTGGTTCAGTTATTTAATTCGCACTCTGTATCGCTTCTTTAAAATTATTCCTTGATTTATTCATATTTATAGCATTGCCATTATTATCGCTACTATTTTCAAATATAAATTTATTTAGTCTCGAGTAAAAATCAGAAATGGTATTCGAAGCGAGTTAGAAACTCAGTGGAACAATCACTGAAAAGTCAGCCAAGTCAGCTAAATTAAAATTCAATTCGCTCGCTATGATTTTATCCTCGCGATCAGTTTCTCGACTCTTCCCGATGAAACCGACTCGCCAATAAAATCTCCGAGAAACAAACAATTTTATCCAAACAGTATTCGGAACAGATCTTTACGTTTTTCTTTTTTCTTTTTCTTCGAAAAGAAAATTATTTCTATCATAGTTAATATTGACGAGACACAGCGTTTCACTATAGATTGTTTTCGAGCAAACGATCCAAACAGTTGTCGAGAGTCTGCAATGAAAAAATACATAAGTCAGCCGTTGTTATAATCATCCGCGATCCGGCGGGACCGAGGATAAAAATAAAGCTTCCTTATATTTCCTTACACTCCCGCATGGCCGATCTGCTCGCAAACGTAATAAATTATTAATCCGGTTGTAAAAGCGCGCGCGTTACACGTTTCAACGGTACCGTCGGGTTGTGTCTGGCGGCGAGACCCGAATGAAATTTAAATTAATCTCGGTTTGTTCGGGGGTTCCGTGGGTTCATGCGTTATTCAAGGCACGCGAGATTATCTTGCTCTCGGTACTCGCGCATGCAGCCCTGCAGAAACGGCAAGTTTTCTCTTTGCGTTTGATGTAAAACGTCACTATTTTTTCTCTTTCTTTCTCCAGACTTTGGTCCTCTCGTCCTCCCGCCTTTTCCACGGGAAAATCTGCGTAACACGCTGCTTCGAAGCTCTAAATTGATAATTTGAAACGTTCAAGGAGAGCTTAAGTTTCGTATATATCGCGAGGTAAAATGGCGAACGATTGGCAGAAATTTCGGAGGTCTATTCGAGTGAGAATCTCGGAAATTTGTCTCAACCCTTCGGTTAATTTAAAGGAAACTTCAAAGTTTAAATTTTGAATACACGGCGTGGTTAAAATTCTGCAAAGTAGAACAGACGAGTGTTATAATTCGTTGCTAGTTGAAAGTTTGGAGGTTAAATTCTCGTTAAACTCCCAAAAAATTTAAAGAAATTTCAAAGTTCGAATTACAAGCGTACGGCACGTTCGAGAATTCTGCAAAATGAATAGAAGCGTTTTGCAATTCGTTGTCGGGATGAAATTTTCAGGTTTCGTTTATCGTTGAGACCCGGCGATCGAAAAAGAGGGGAAGAGAAAGACCGACGAGATCCATCTCGTTCGTAGATCCAAGTTTCCGTCGAGTTCTTGGCCGAGCAAGTTTCGAAACTTCTCACTTTGCTTACCCCGGGCGAACTAATTTCGCCTCGAGATAATGTTTGTTCCTCGTGCCTCTCAGATGGGAAACGCATCTCATCGCGGTCGCCATTTTCACGCGCAACGATCGCCTTTCCTCTTTCATTTACTTTCGTCAATGCTCGTTTAACCGACTGGAACTCTTTCCAGTTGAAACTGTCGGCGATATTTATTTTCCAGCAAGAAGAATAAATATGTGGTTGCTCGTTGTATAAATTATTAACTGTAATCGGTCACGATTGTGATCATTATACTGGTTAATTTTCAAACAAATCTAGAAATACGTATAAACATAATGAAATACTTAATACACGTAGTACATGTTGTTCGTGGAAGCATTTGAACACTAATGAATACACTATGCGCGCGTAAAATATTTCATGTAGTGAAACTCAACTGATCTAAAAATCTATGTACAAATTATATGATTAACCATGAATATAAATTATCCGTTAAATATTGCGCTTTTCATAGCGATAACAAAGCAAGATCTTCAGCAAGACAATACTGTTTTCCAATAACGCTATCTCTTTCAACATTATTACCAGTTACCTCGTAACTTTTCATAAAAATTTTATAGACTTGCAATCGTACTGCTTTAGGAATTTAAACGATTTTTCGTTCAAACGAAAGCCTCTGTTCTTCAACGTCATTACAAACTTTTTTCCTCGCGTTTGAATTCCTCTGAACACGTGTTTTGTAACACTGAAGCATGTTCGAATATTCTAAGTCAAGGAGACTCTTCCTGTTTGCCCCTAAAAATTTTTTACACGCATCGTGTCCGCCGGTTCCACGTGTAACGAATGGCGAACGATGATAATCAGGTCAGAATGTTCGAGGCCAAATGTTCGATAAACCGCGCGCAACTCGACGAGCGATGATAATTTAAATTCAATTTCATCGCGGCATTACGTTTAAGCGTTAACCTCTTCAGCCTCTTTCGCGCATTCCGTCCCAGAAAGCTTTCGTGCTTCCTCCGTTCGCCACTCGACGCGCCATAATTGACGTTTAATTTTATAAAACGGAACGCCAAGTGAAACAGACACGGTTCGCTTTGTGCGAATGGAAGTCGACGACCGGCGAGTCGCTCCGGTTCGCCTCTGAAAAAACGCGATTTCTCTCTGTGGAACGTTCGTAGAAAAAAAAAAAAAGGAAAAAAAAAAGGGAAATCGACGCGATCTCGATTCACGAGGCCACGGCAAAATTACGTGTTTGCGTTTTACGCGACGCGGCCGCGCGCTTTTCGCAAACACAGAGAATTTAAAGGCGACCCATGGCTGATTCACACGCCACGTCATTAATTACGCCATTAATTATGCCTCGGGCCTATACGTCAACGTCAAAACGGTCCTGTTTTTCGGTATTAATGAATCAATAATTAGACACGTCGCTGAGTTCTGCGAGCTCGTTGAATTACTTTATTTTCTCATTTGTTTTTCTTTTCTTTTTTTTTTTTTCACTATTTTATTCTGCTCAGAAGCAAAGATTATTTATTTCAAAATCGTACAAATTGAATCTAAATTGCATCACTTCTCCTTAAAATTGTTCACGTCTCCTTAAAATTGTCTTTCTATTATTTTCAAGATCTTTACAAAACCAATACACGTAAATCCGAAAAAAGCGACTTCTTTTCGCGATTAATTTCTGAACCTAAAGAAGTGACTTGGATACTGAGTTACCGACTATACAAGTACACAAGAAAGTTTCCCAAAGAGATGCCACGCGCATATTCATATCGCCGTCGACTTTCGAATATTTTCATTAACCGCCATAGCCCTCCTCCTTCTCCCCGTTCTTTTCTTTCAATATATAACAAGTTTTTGCCGGGAGTCGAGAGAAAGTTGCCAGACGCGCTCGTAGAGCGAGCGCGTTAATTAAAGTCGCGGCACTTTCGGGCTGCTGAGGTTGAAGTACTAAGTATGTCAGGTGTTATCAAAGCTCGCGCGTGTACCTGGCTTCCTCCGGTCTCCCTTCTCACCCCTCTCTTTCCCAGATGTCGCATTAAACGGCCGACCTCCGGAAAGAAAAGGGATCAAAAGACGAGGAAAGAGCAGAAACAAACGTCTCCTCTCCCCGAAACTTCTCGTTTCTTTTATATCATATTTTATCTTTAGCAAATCTTTCTCCTTCTTGCGGCGTATTGTGTCTACAGAAGCAGATAGAACTCCTGGGTTCGCGTTCGCGCAGTCGAAAAATCGGCGGCCATTTGTTATTTACGTCCCCTGCCTCTGTACCTGCTAATTGTAAGTTCGAGATGCATAATTCTTTGGGCGAATGCAAAACGAGAACGCGCCGCCGCTGCCGTTTCATGAATCACCCGCCTGCCCAGTGAAAACCGGCCGGCCTTTCTGCCTCCTATTTCCGCCGGTTTTCCGCGAATTTTCCCTCGCCTCTCGCTGCCACGATTTCCCATTTCCTCGTTCGAACCGTGGTAATTACCAGGCGCGCGAATTTATTACGCTCCGCGAGGCAGCCAGGCGTCGATATTTTTGCACGTGGTGTTTCTCTCCGCCACCTCGACGCGGACGTCGCTCGCACGTTTCTTAAAACTCGCCGGAGGGGAAGTCGAGGGAACTTTGTGGCTCTCAGTTTTAAATACGACAGTCCTCTTGTTGTTTCTGCCTGTTTGCGGGAAATTTGGAAGCAAATGCAAATAAAATAGAGTATGATCTGGATATATTATAGTTTGATAAGTAAGGGATGTAGATATAGCAATCTAGCTTAGACGTTAGACACGTGTCGCATATGGCGTTTAATTGTGATGAAACCAATCTCTACTTGTAGGAAGCTATTAATATTATACAAGCATAGAGGTAATCTGTTTGTTACTTTTTCAACTTAAATTGGATTTCCAATGGACTCTGTGTTAGAAATTCTGTAGACAAGCATACTCTTATTCTTCAGCATGCATGCCGAGTTGTCTATGTCCGTATTTTCTCATCTTTTCCAAAACACCTATATATTTTGGGACACTTGTGCAGTTAATTTTTCGAATATTTGAAAATGAATTTACTCTGTCTCGATCGTACGATGTATAATAATCATTTTAACACTATAATTTTCCATGGAAATTTTTAACAGTGTGTTTTTAGATACTCGAGTGATTTTTAATAGAAGCTCGTGTCCTTTATTGTGCCATCAACTTTCTCTTGTATCTCGCACTTTAATTTCTTTCCCCCACAAACATTACACCTCAATGGTTGGTAGTTCTAGCGTTAATATTCCGAAAGTTTTGCAGATACTTTGAGAGCTTGTGTCTCTTTGGAAAAATTAGAAAAACAAATGCATGAGGAAGGATTCAATTTCTATACTTGTCCCAGAGTGTTTGAGAGCCTTTAACAGAGGATTGAAAAAAAATTATGGTGGTATAAATGATTTAGGCTTGCTTACGAAAGAGGTATTTAACGAAATCTAGGCTTCGTACTTTGAATTCGTCGATAGCTTCCCTTAGATCCTCGTCGGAGTAGCCTTTCATCGCCTTGGTGGCCACTGGTCCCATGTAGTTGTTCACCACGGCGAACTCCATGAGCGAGAGGAACACGAACACGCTGCACGAGGACATCCACACGTCGATGGCCTTCACGTAGGAGACCGGCGGCAGTGATTGCTGGGACTGCGTGTTCTGAGTCGCTGCAAATCAAACAATCGGGACGTATCTCGGTCGCTCTGTGCCAACATTAATTTGCTGTTTGCTATTCGTTTCGCAATTACACCCCCTCCCTTACTGTTCTGTATGCAGCAGGACCACGTTTGTATGAATTTCATTTACGAGAGTGAATGTGATTTATTAATTATCAACAGCAACACTTTTTTGTTCTACGTGTATGGTCGCTGACTTTGACATTATGAGATCAAAGAACCTCAATGTTCATCTTTCTATGTAAGTATAATGATTTTTTTCTTTTATCGAATATTTTCTGCTTTAATTTCCATCACTAACGTTTCTTGTGCGTCATATTTTATCACGAATTCACGTTACATTTCTCTTACTCTATAGAAGATATTCGTTTTCCTGATGCCTCTTTTCGCACATGTTACGAGCATCAATTTTATAATTTTGCAATAAATTTTCCTAAACACATTTCTCACGCTTCATACCTTTACGAGCCATAAATATCCTACAGAGATAATTTATGGGAAATTTCTCATATTTTACTAAAGTTACGGTAGATTAAAGGTGTAAAGTAAGCCACGACCATTCCTTTTAGAAGCGTCGGTAACCACTCTGAAAATACATGCTCCACCCTTTTCAACGAGCTGAACGAGGCAGACTGCGTCTAAAACGAGCCCGAACCTAAACCCGAGCCCTTGCCCGTATCACGAACTCCATGACCCACGATTTTAAAGACACCTCGTTATTCCGTACATGGCATTGAAAAACGCGCGGATGCTATGTCACTTATTCTCGTAGCCTCTGTGCCACCCTCGATTCATCTCAACACAAAAGCACCGACCTCGTGTCGTTTGAATGGCCACGGTGTACTGCGCGTTTCAAACTTCAACCCTCATCCGTCCCTTGCGTCAATTTCTTTTGTATAAAATAATATTATATGATTATATATTACTTATTATATATAATATTAAAAATATTAATCAATATTAATGTTTATTAATATTTTTTCGTATAAAGGTACTTTTAACGTATAACATGTACTATTGACGACAAAATATATCGCCAAGAGTTGCAAGCAACTTTCAAGTCCCTTGACGATACATTATTAATTATTAACTAACTTATACCTGAATCTGTTCAAATTTGCAGAAATTTCTGATTCAGTTAAATATATATAAATTATTTGTTATATATAATATTAAAAATATTAATATTTATAAATATTTTTTTGTATAAAGTCATATTGTACAGGTACTTTTAACGTATAACATGTACTTTTGACGACAAAATCTATCGCCAAGAGTTGCAAGCAACTTTCAAGTCCCTTGACGATACATTATTAATTATTATTAATTATTAACTAACTTCTATCTGTTCAATTTTGCAGAAATCTCAGATTCAGTTAAATATATATAAATTTAGTTTGTTTATTTTCCTATCTTCAGTTTGTTCAGTTCATTTAATTAATTTATCTTCAAATTTGAATTTGGATGAGTTGTTGAATCTCCGTCGTCTCAGCAAAAAGTATATAACACAAACAGCGGAAGGGTAGTAGGACGGAAAGTAAAAAGAGCACGAAAAGAAAACTCGAGGAGTACGCGATTTTGAACTCAATGCAGAATGGTTTCGTGGTAAATTTATCGCGAGGGAGGTTGCACGTGTAAACCCAAGTGGCTAATTTCTTGTTGAAATTGTTGTTCCAATCTGCTGTTCCAAGAAAAAACCGAATCTTTGAGTGGTCGACCGAGTCGATCGATCTACGGAGATGGAAAAACGTCGGCGAAGAAACGTCGTCCAGGATGTGGTAGCGGGGCACGATGACCTTACCGAGGGTCAGCAGTGACGTCACTCCCAGGGTGACCCGGGCCGGGATCGCCTCCGGTTTGATCCAGAACGCGATCCACGACATGACGACGATCAGCGCGGACGGTATGTACGTGTGGAAGAGATGATAGCCCAGCCGACGGCGCAGATTGAACACGATCTGGATGCACGTGAAGTTGCCGGTCGAGTACTCGATCGTGCAGTCGGTCGTGTAATTATTTGAAATGTCCAGCTGGGGCAGCTCGATCTCCGGGTTCACCACCAAAGGATCCGTCATGTTCCAAATGAACACCAGATCCTGGGTGGTGTGCGACACTGAAAGGCAACTCGGGTTAAAAACATTTTCATTTTCGAGATAGCGTACGCGAATTCGGCGTTTGTAGACGAGCGGAAGATTCTTCAGACGACGTGTCGAGATTAAATTAGGAAAGTATCTTTTTATTCGGAGCTATCGATTTTTAGAAATTGTTAGCTTGTTACGGATCAAGATTATTTGAAATTTTATACCTGTTGACGTAATTATTATGATTTACATTGTTGCGTTGGAAGAAAAATTTAATGTATAACACGTACTATATGAAAAATGATTTCTTAAAGTAGAAATCCATTAAATTTTTGACTGTCGATATTCACAAAAAGTAACCACTTTTGTAATAAGTTAAATTCGTCTTTCACTTTTTCTTTTCTCACATGAAGCGAGTAATGTTATATATTGGATTTTTAAATGACCATGATAACTTAGATTACAAAAATTCAGAAAATTTTGCATTTTATATTCAGCGTAATGAAGATTTGCTAGTCCGTCGAGGGTGAGCTTCGCGTTCGGGGAGGTTGACGCGTGGTGAACGTTAATATTTACGGAGAAAGTAACACTTTTGAAATTTAAATTGGTCATCTTGGGTCGGAAAGCAGGGAATTGCGTTATCAAGGGAGGATTTCAATTTCTTGGGTTAAGTATGAAAAGCAGATCTCGCCGTCTGTTAGTCGATCCTTAACTATGGGTACATTTCAACAAATCGCGTCTGTGGAACGTCAAAAAGTAACAAAACTAAAATACAAACCAAGTAATTTAATTTTAGACGAATAAATGTAACGTAACTATAAAGTTACTGTAACATAAATTATCTCTATATAAATAAATCTCAGAGATGACTAAATACTCGATTATTGATATTACCCGGGTTTCGCGTATATTTTACTTCGACTTTTGTTTGAGTACGTTAAAGTTAAAAGCCCATAGTTAAAGGGTTCACAAGTCAGAGTTTTATTAATCAATACGAACATCTACGTAACGAATGATACGTACGACTTTCGATCATCATTGAGCAAATCTGAGTGTCGTGAGGATAGGACTCGAACTTCATCGCGCAAGACAGCACGAGAGTCAATCTAGAAAGAAAGAAAAAAGAAAATAGAACAAATGAGAAATACGTGAATATCGCGGGACGATCGTTTCGATCGATCTTACTTCGACATGTACAGCAGCGTCTTGTCGTGGTACAGCCAGAGATAGTGATTCGGTATGGACATCTCGTGAAAGGTGACTTTCTTCGCGTTCTTGAAGAAGCAGTCAGGTCTCCAGATATTGTGCAGCCAGTCTACGTCCAATATTCTGTACTCCTCGGACATGTTCTCCGGAAGTCGCAGTCTAGAGTCCCGCCAGCTTTGCGCCAGAAATATGTCCGCGACGTACGTCTAAAAGTCAAAGCCAATGAAACGTTCCGCGGAGAATTTAAAAGTAAAACTTTATATGTAGAAACACTTGTCGAGGAAATACATAATTAAGAATTAAGAATATATATATAATATACAATAATATAATTATGATATTAATTATTTGTCTTCTTTAATTATTCCTTGTTCTATTATCATTACTCCTGTTAAATAAATATTATTTATATTATATCTCTACAATATTGCTGTTTAAATAAATATTATTTATATTATATCTCTACAATAAGGCAATGAAACGTTCCGCGGAGAATTTAAAAGTAAAACTTTATATATAGAAACACTTGTCGAGGAAATATATAATTAAGAATATATATATATATATATATATATATATATATATATATATATATATAATATATATTAATAATATAATTATGATATTAATTATTTGTCTTCTTTAATTATTCCTTGTTCTATTATCATCACTCCTGTTAAATAAATATTATTTATATTATATCTCTACAATATTGATAATCATTCGTATATCTTAGAAAAAAAAAAAAAAACATACTGCAAAAGCGTCTGAAGCCAAAAGTATTCCCGCCAGAAGTCTAAACTGATGAATATTCAATTTATAATCGTTATCTCAGCCGTTTAGCCCCGGTTAACCCCCGACGAGATAAGACGTCAACTAAGACACGAGCGGTTACACGCTACGTGGCCCAATTTGCATGCGCGTTAGCGACGATGCGCGAGAAAAAGAGGCATACGCAGGCACGCGGAAAGGTGTGAAACACCGCAGCCAAGGCTTGCGTCTCTTCGACTCCCACCGCGAGGACTGCCACCCCCATTTACACGGTTTTCCCCTGTGTTCGAGGCGCGTGATGCCTCGGGCGCGGGCAGGCTTCCCCCCGGTGTTGGGTTAGGTCTTAATTAAACGCGAGTACCCGAGTACGGCGGTCGCTCTTTCGCGTCAGGCGAAATTACCATAGATTCCTCGTTTATGGAGTCGAGGCTGAGCACCGTCACGTGGAAGTAGACAATGGTAGGCTGGCCGAGGAACTTGGGCGCTCTGTGCTTGTCGTATTGCTTCGGGTTCAACGGGAGGATGTCCCTGAGTGACAGAGAGGCCTCCTTCCTGCCGTATTCCTCGAGGTCCGACTCCCTGGAGGAAAACAGAGAAGCGAGGAGAAAACGTGACCTGCGGTGGAGGAACTCGGGAGGGGAGAGGACTCGCGCCGAGTCCGCCATTATGGTGTGTCGTCGTGAATGCATCGAGAGATTTCTTTCATTTATTGCTACTGGAGATTGTCGTGAATGACTCTGACGGTGATTCGACGATTTTGTTCGACGGGTTGTTTTATTAGTCTGTCACTGTATTTAGACAGGCGAACTGTTGTATTGTATTTTCTTTAATTCTGAAACTGAAACTAAATCTGTGATTCTTCTCTATGCGATGGTTGATCGTTTCAATTCCAAAAATCTATCTCCAAGAGAATACGAATGAACGAAAGAGGTGGGAGTAGGTTGAGCAACAAATAACGATACACTCACGTACAACTGATTTTTTTGTTTATATTATATATGTTATATATGTTATTTATTATATTTTGTTTATATTATATATGTTATTTGAGTATTAATTAATACTCTAATTCTAAAAATAAATCACAATTTACGCATACACGTTATTCTTTTGTTGTATTTATTGTTTATACGATCATTCTTACTTTCAATAATTGACACTCTCTGCTCTGCGATTCTTTTTCGGAATAACATGAATAAATAGAAAGCATTTATTGTATACACATATTGTATGCAGTGTTGCTTGACGTAGAATATACTTCACACATCTTCACCTTGTCACATTTACCATCACCGAAGCACAAAAAATGTTCTCCACGTTTCATATTCTCTTTGACGGAGTTTCTTCAGAACCGAGTTGACATTCACACCTAAACAGGAACTTTCTGACTAAGACAAGAGATCATTCACTATTTTCCTTAACAGTCTCGCTGCTTTAATTTTGGTTTTCTCTATCCTTGACCCTGTTCGTCGTATTCTCTTCTTTCCTGTTCCAAGTGATCAGATTATCTTATCTTTCGTTAGTTAAGCTTGTTACGTTATCTCTTGTCTTTGATCGTTAACGAAGCTTTGTGTGTGTTTCCTATTGATTTCAGTAGCGTTACTGAATCGCTGGGGAGTAACTCGATCAAAAACTTAAACTGTTGTGTGTAGTCTCTCTCTCTCTTTTTCTTGTTAGTTTCAAAACTTTTGAATTCAAAGAGGAACAATTCATATCATTCACTTGTATATTTATAGAATATGCTAATCGGTGCCACCATGTATCCTATGGAACCAGTCTCAGTGTTTTTGGCACCGTTCTTCTCGCATTTTCTCGCTTTCGAAGTTTTTGTGCATTGTTTTGAATTAAGTCGTGCATTAACAACTTTTCTATGTACGAAATATGATAATTAGGTGGAAAACGACATAGGTTGACGCATCTCGGAACCTCGAGATTTTTCTTTTACATTCTTTTCGTTTCTCTATCTTTAAGCGGATTTTCAATGTCAGTTTAAGTAGTTGGAGTTTACGTTCATACTTGCACCGAATTGGCAAATAAAAATGGATTTTCTTCTGCAGCATTGAAAATGCCGGTGAGACGTAAATTTTGCATAATGACAAAAAAATTCTACCATTTAAAATTAAATGAAACCACGATCATAACGATCCACTTGGGGGTAATCTTTTTCTTACTTTGCAAACAGAATTTCTCTTGCTTACAAGAGGAAAAGATTATTTTTTGTTAATTGTAGTTATTCATTTCGCTGTAAAATATATATCGCAATTAATAACTACATCATTTGGTATCTGCGTAATTAATTATACAAAGTAATGATTCAACGTTCGTAATTAATAAAATGGAATAACGAAATTCGAGCTACAAATAGTGCAGTGAATGTTAGAGTTACAATAACTGCGAAATAGTTTTCTACCGGAGTGAAATTTTATTCCAGCCAGTAGAATTCTCCTCATAAAAAAATCTTTCCGATGTATGAAGTACAATTCACGTTACAAAACAGATTTTCGTTTTCGAGAATTCTTCACTTCAACGAGACAGAGTAAAATTATTCCTTCGGTCAGAAACTTCTTGCAGTCGCTGCGTACTTACGAATCTACTCCCTCGAATTTATAACACAATGCTTGAAAGATGAGAATTCTAATTGCGGGAACAGTGCTTAAACGAAGAAACAAACAAGTAAGCTAAATTAAAAATAGCAAGAAACTGGCGATCGTCACGTTCGAGTGGCACGCGTAAATTCACGATGAAAAACGCGACGGTGAGTCGCTCCGATATTCGCGAAGTCGTCTCGTTACCTCTCTCGATTTACGACACTCGGCCGCAATTCCGGCGAATTATTTCGTCATATTTCTCGAGCGGGGCGAAGACACCGATGAAACGCCGATGGATCGAGCAGATCGGGGCCAAAGGAAGTCCAGCGACGATGCGGCGAGCGAGCCGGACTCTAAAATATTGCCGCGATTCCGATGAAACAGCAATATCGCAGAAGCCATAATAGGTCTTCGTGCTTGGCACACCTTTAGGTCCGGCCGAGATACGTGTGTTCCTTGCACGCGGACATTTTAATATGCTAACCTACGACCTCCGGGTCCGGTTACCCCCCCGGAGAATTTCCACTTTCGTTCGTGCAATTTACCCGCTCTTTTCCCCTCGCCAACCTTATCCTCCCACCTCCAACCCTCGTGACGATTTACGCCGGGCGGCTCGGCTTCCACCAAGGTGTCACGTTCGATTTTAATCGAACGACGCCGAACACCTGCTCCGGGGATCTTCTTTGATCTTTGATTTACGACCTCGTGATTTAGTGGGATTTGCGAGGGTCGAGTGGTTGCGTCGTACGAATTGTCCTTGAGTCGCAGTCGAGAGGACAGTGAATACAAAAGAATCCAATGTTTCGTCGTATAGCCATAATATTGCCTCGTGTTCTCTCTTTATTCTTCTTTTTTTTTTTTCTTTAATAAAATGCCCAAATATCCATAATTGAGAGCAGGTCAGACGAAAGTTTAATTATTCATCTTTCCATCGTAGGTATTTTATCGTCTTTCTTTCTTTTCAGCATTCCTTTTCAATTCGACACCAAGGGATGAATTAAATTGAACGAGGTTTTGAAGTTTGATAAAGTGGCAATGGCAGGAAATCGTGCAGCAAGTTGTCAGGGATTGATCCTCACGAACCAGTGACACGATTTTTTTTCATAATTCTGAAGTTTGACAATTTCGACGATTCTCGAGGATGAATGCGTCCTTACTTCTCCATTCGTTGCGTGACGTAAGGATATCCTCGAACGAACAAACTCAGGACTATCGAAGCAGAGGCTTCACGCTTTAAAATGAGACCCGGTGGATTGTTACGTGATTCTTCTTTACGAAATTGTAACAATTTAAAGTACCGATGGTTCTTCATTGTCATTCTTCTTTCTCGAGATAGTTTTTCTGAATAATTACGAAACGTGTTCGGATTGTCGCGATGATAATTATATCGTAGATGATGAAAAGCGCGCGACGTCCATTTATTAGAGCGCACGATTCGTGAAATCTGCCGAGCTGATAATTTACGACAATTTTTAGGAATTTTCTTATAATTTCTTCCCCGAGCGGCTGGACTCCAGCATCGAATCAGACGGAAGAGGTTCTCCTGTTTCACTGTCAAGTCATTTCCAAGATTTTTCTCCTCGTTGAACGAACATTCGCGAAAATCGCAGCAGAACTCGCAGAAACTCGATAAAATCTCCCGCGAAAGCCATCTGTACGAGAAAATGTGCTTTGAAAATTGCAAACGCAAACGTAAATCGAACGTAAAGAAATGGATCGGATGATGAGTTATTAAAGTCCGCATACATCTGTCAAACTTCGAGTATTCAATCCTTGGACATCGGATGCTCCAACAGTCACTAAAGTAATTTATAATGACGAACGATTTATACGTAAACGTCGCTGCTGCTTTATTATTTTTGATTTTATCCGGCAATTAGGATTATGTAACAAAGTATAATGAAGTAAGCAATTAGAAATATATAGTAAAGTACTATGATAAAAATTGTAGCAAACGAGTTGTTTGGGTTGGTCAAAATAGAGATAAAATATCAATGTGTAAGTGGATTTTGAGAATTTTATGAATCTTAATTAATCTTTTAAGTAAAATATTGACAACGTTTCTTATATTTATTTAGGAGAATATAAATCGCAATCTTCGGTAACGCAATCTACATATATAGATCTGCAATTATCATACGCTTTTTTGATATGCTCGTGATAGTTAACCCTTTGGTCTATTCCAAGAGAAAGTTATGTCAAGAACACGTTGAAAAATGAGATTTTCATTAATTCTGACATCTCTCGACGTCTTAATTTTATTCCTTAATTCTACAAATACATGACAGAATTTTAAAAAAAAGAAGAGGAAAATAGCAGTTTCAATTATATTTCACTATTGTACCCCTCAATTGCAGAAATATCTTTCATTTACGTTTATCTACGCTAATCGTCACATTTTTTTTCAGAATCTATGCAACTGTGATAAATACAAAACATTTAAGATCCCTGTTTTCCTTTAAGTATTCAAAATATTCGACAGATGCACGTGGACTTTCGTGACCAAACCGTGTCAAATCGAATTCTGCGTAGAGAAATAGAGAGAAAGAGAGAGAGAGAGAGAGAAAGGGAGCAGGGAAGAAATGTTTTGATGATGTCGATCTAGCTTGGTGCGTTACCTTTCGATCTTCGGAAAAAACCGGTACCCGCGCTTTCTCGCCGAAAGTCGAAACGTACTGGACGATAGGCTATCGACTTTAATATGCCAGCCTTCGACCTCCGTGGAAAGTACCGGTTCGCATATTTCCTCGCTGAAACTCGACACAGTCGCGGGTGATGCTGGGCCAGATTCTATCGTCGCCGTGTTTCGCAACGAGAACGAATTTACCGATGAACCTTTCCATCCATCTCTCACGCCTCCCTCGCCATATATTAAAATTCGTTCAGAACAAGACGTTCAGACAAAATTTTTGCCGACGCGAGTTGACACTCGAAAAGGACACGAATTTTAATTACAATGCAAAAAAAAAAAAAAAGGAATTTATATTAACTCCTTGCCTTGTTAATTTCGAAAGGATTGAAAAGTTATTTCAAAGAGTCTTTTCATTTTGTATTTTAAAATATATTCACGTAGACAAAGAAACGCATTAACCTAAAGTTTGATACAATTGATTTTTAAAGAATTAAAATTATAATTAAAAATATAATTAAAAAAGTTATCGCGAGTCTTCAATTGTACTGAAATCATCTCGGCTGGATCTGTATGTATTCGAATACTGTCGGAAAGTGAGCTCTATTTTTACTTTTATTTCATTAATCTCCTTTTTTGTTTTATTACACCTATACCTTTCTCTATAAATTTACATATACTGTTCTTCGAAAAAGAATTTTGCAAACGTAATACGACGGAGATGAATCTTAAAGAGTTTTCTTGTTCTGCACAGTTCCCTTTTTCTCCAAATTGACTTGCTATTAACGAGGCAAGGTACCACAGGATTTTAAGTATAAAATTCTATTTTAACAAATATAATTTAATAATAATTAATAATATTTAAAATTATAATAATGTATAACATTCATTTAGATGTCACCGTACAATCGTCAAATCGAAAATTAAAACAGACCGGCGAATGAGAAAAGTGTCCGGCACATTTTTAGCGTCCGCTAATGACGGTACGTTCGTTCTTTTTGCAAGTAGGCCACGATACTCGTCCTCGGGATCGCGTTACTCAGCGATCGAAGGGGCGTGCATGCGTGAAAGAGAAAGATAAACCAGGAACGAGACTCGGAAGGCACGAGAGAGATTTCCGTCGCATTGGTCGAACCGATCGGACGAGAAATTACACGAGAAATCTCTGCGCCCTTCGATCTAAAGGCTAGCCTTCAGCACTGCTCTACTCAAACCGGTCGCGGCTTCTATAGCTTCCGAGTTACTCGTGTTCGCCTACTCACGGAAAATGCAGGGCCACCATGTCAAAGAGCGTGTACAGGTAGCAGCATAGGATCACCAGAGAGTGCCTCGTCATTCCTGAAACAAATTGTCGATGTCAGTGAAGCTGAGAAAGATTGGAACGAGAGTCGTAAAGATCGTGGATAACGTCGAGAGCATGTAACTTTCAGTGGAAAACAAAAAAAAAATGATATTCAACCGAGCGGAACGAACACGATCGAGTGGAAAATTCTCGCGTTTCACGAATTTTTATGGTTCGTGAGCATGTCTCTTTTTTCCAGTGTTGCCCTGTACGACGAAATATAACGACGACAGACTGTGTCGCGTGTGTTAATCTACCAACCAGTTTGTCAAAAGATCAGGCAGTAACTAATTACAATTGAATTGCGGATTTTTATACGTTTAGAGGAAATAGAATAATGGCTTCTACAATTGTTCAACAATTTTCTATTCATTCAATTATAGTTTCAACAGCGCGAATTTGTATAAAAGTGTCTAATAATTTTATATTAATGTGTCAGTTTCTTGAAATTTCGTGAAACTGTAGAAGATGAAGGTTATTAGTAATGAATATTAATCGAATCGGTGGAACTTCATAGGACGTTAAAAAGAATCGAATTTGGTAATATGAATCGACAAGAAGGAATTCACAAAATGATAAATAATAATTTGTAAAATGTTATATTTGTATCCATCCATTGAAAAATCTAATAGTGGTCACTAATGATCTTGTTGTTACGCGTGATGGAACGTAAACAATCGAGAGAGAAAGGAAACTCCCATAATTCGGCGAGGAAACCCTCGTCGCCACGGCGTTCTATCGGTGCCGCGAAACGGAGAAATTTAGGTCGAGGCTCGTTTCCCAACGTTGTTCAAACTTCGCCGTTCTTCTTTCGCGCTAATCCACCAGCAAGTTCTTTCCGATTCTTCTAAAATCCACTTGCGAAATCCCCGCAATCGATCGCAAGTCTACGCGACAATATCCCGAACGTCAATATCAAGCGAGAAATCAGAAGCGAGAGTTGGTCGAATCGAAACGGAATTTCCCTTGGCCATACGTTTCGCCGCCGATCCAGGCCAGGAATTTGAATATTACCCCGGCGCTTCTGTCACTCGTGATAGCTCGATCACCATTCTTGGACAGGATAACGAACCGGCAAGTTTCAAAAGCCACGACGTCAACCGTGAGACTTACCGATCAGCTGAACATTCTACCGTGCCGATCCTCTTTGACCAATCGAGCAGCTGGCGCACTACGAATCCTCTCCCGACCGCTCCACAACTCCTTATCGCGATAGCGCACAACCGGCTTATCAACCCAGCAGCCACATCCGCCGGAAGTTCCCTCCAATATCCATCAAAGTCGATGGGCTAAACACGCGGCTTCGATCAGCGACAACCGGCCCGATCCGTGAACGATCATTACCAAAAATCTCTGTGTTACGCGTTTCTCTTTGGCAAAAACGGTGAAACGTGGCTCGCGTATATACGCGGTAAATCGGTAATGCACGCGATGGAGAACAAGCTCGGAGAACAGAACGAGGAGTACGCGTCGCGCACAGTGTCGTTGCACAGTGTTGCCTGTGCGAAATTCACAATTTTGTGGGAATTCTCGGGGGCGCGATCGCGTCGAGGAAACCCCAGCAAGGATCGGGGACACACGGGGCGCGACTCTTATCGGCGAAGGGTTGATTCGCCACTCGGCCACTGGCCACTGGCGGGGCTTGCTGGTTCTGTAAACCACCCTGTCGGTCGCTGCCTCTAAGCCAATTTGCCTATCGACTAACTGATTAAGCCCTACTCTCTTTCATCGTGGTAGACGTGCTCACGCTCTACTGGACCTACCTAACCAATGTTGTCCAACATTGTGCGCGACTCTCGCGCGTGTTTGTGGAGAAGCGGCTGTGCACGTCGTTGTGCCGAGGGACGGCCGAGGCGTTTTCGTGTGTGCGTTACGCCGAGAGACAGAGACCTGTGCGAACCTCGTGTCCCGGCACGAGATACGGCTATAGTTGGCTAGAGCCACGACGCCCGGTTCATTCGTCCGCGTTTCCGTAGCGCTGTACCACTGGAAACTCTACCACCTTTTTTCTTTTTTTTTTTTTTTATTCTTTTCGGTATATTTCGGTATATTTGATAGACACCGCCGGATTTTTTATTTTTCTTTATTCTTTTTATTTTTAAATCTTCGCCGCTTGCTTTCGTTACTCGTAGCTTGTAATTACGTAACGGACGTAATACCGCGCCGTGGTATAGTAGCTGGCGTGCTAGCAATTGGAGCAACGAGGACGCGATTGTTTTTTTTTCCCCCCCTTTTTTTTTTCGGTGAAAGTTTTCGCAACGTCGAGAGTTTTATACCGATCGGAGAGGAGAACGGTATGATGCGAAATGCATTTTCGTGCATTACGCATTGCTATCATTTGCGGAACTTTCGACGTCTCGTTAGTTTTATTAGTTCGAAAAAAAAAAAAAAACAAAGAGAACCTCGTGATGTATTACTTACGATTAATTACGAATTTCGGCGTGAGAGAGAAATTACGATCGAATCGAGAAGGATTCGATCGGAAAATGTAGTAGATTCTGGAAAGTGTTGTAGAAAACATTTCGAAACGTCATTAGTATTGTAAATGGATGGAACAAGATATGTGATAAATATGTATTTAAACAAATGTGCAAATGTACATTTGTTCAATTCCAAATACTCAAAGTGGAAAATCAACTTTCAATCTTTCAATTTTGACCCTCTTGAAAGTAACATTAGCAATTTTTTAAAAATTTTCTCCACTTGCTACTTCGCTGCAAGAATATCAAACGAACTATTTATACGAACGACATTGAATTAATTTTTAATTGCAACAAATGGCCGTAATTCATCTTTCCTTCTTGCAAGTAAACGAAATACCGGATAATGTAATATATATATAACGTCTTTCTTTAAAATTTTGTTCAAAAGTTTGACACATTTTGCAAGCTTTCATCGTGCGACAGTTTATGATAACGGGTATCTGAACCCGCAAGCCAATTCCCTTGTTAGGCAAATGAATCGATGGCACCATAAACGTCGAAACGCGCTGATCAATGCATTCAGCATTATACCGGATGGTCCACCGCAAATGGAACATCCGAATAGTGCGTCGAAGGCTCAAAGAGATTCTATTTAAAGGGGGAATGTTTAACAAGCTATTCAACGTATTCGCGTTTCCTGTTCGCTACTAATGGCGAACAGAATACTCGGCCGCTCTATTTTAGGCGAATACAGTGCAACACAGTAGCGGCCGCTGCTAGTTTCTTACGCTCTGAGGCTTGTTTCTTACGCGATCTTCGGTAAGACGATCGAATCTGAAACCGACGAATCGACCCCTGCGTACTCAGATTCTCAGTCTTCTGAACCTGCTAAGCGAGCTAATAAAATCCTCGTCGTCTCTCCGCGCTTCAAGAACTTCGTATCCATCCTCGCGAGCTGTGCAAGACGAGTTTCCACCTTGCGAACATAAACGTCCCGCTTGGCTGGATCATCTGACGCTGATCATGTCAAAGTTCGCTCGAAATTTCGCGTGCACGGTTGGTTAAGCCGTGAAATTTCAATAATTTTTAGTAATAAACGCGTGTTACCTTCTAGGAAAGTATAGTGTTTCCGAAGCACCAGTTTCTGACGAAGTAACTTGGAAATGAACTCGACTGAGTCCCAGAAACGAAATCGATTTAATTTTCTTTTTCCGAGACAGTATAATTCTTGTGTTATCAGTATCTATAAATCCGATTGTTAAATTCTAGTAGCAGATGTGTCAATTTCATGTTTCTCGCAACAGTCAACAACTAGGACAACTCAGTCTGGATTTGTTTCAGTCTTTCTAATTATTTCAACACGTCGTGCACATCGACAACACTGTTGTCGTGCTTAATTTTTCAATAAACATGGCACGATCCCGTCCCCGTAATAACTGGTACATTCTCTCGCCACCAGTGAAATGTTCGTCCACACGTGCAACGTGCATGTGTGCACACATGGCTGTTATTGGATATAAATATCCGTACGTGGCCAGTTATGGCACACACGCGACTGTGTCGAGCGTACATGCGAGTATCGATACCCCTCCTGGTCTAATGAGATTCACCGGAGGCGCAAGTACAAACGAAGAGGGTTTTCCGAGCGGATCCGATCGATCGACTCCTCTGACCGATTCTTCGATTATTCCCGATTAATTGGACGCCTCTTTATCAAGAACGTTCAAACACCGGTTATCTTTTCTTCACGAAGATTAAGCAGTACTTTTTACTTCGCTTCGGGGAAAAATATTATAGTTGGAAACGAGAATAATTCCTCCTCTTTCTCGAGTAGTAGCTCTAGTACCTGTTAAAGTTTTATAAAAATGGAATAAAACAAGTCTAATACGTTTATAATAAATTTGGACTTGTCCAATCTCTGCAGCTTCCAAACTTTACTAAATTTATTTTTTAAACATCTTTTGGTACTTTGTCACTGTTTACTTTTAAAATCACGCGGATACGTCCTTTACGAATAAAGGGAAATCAATGATCCGAAGCAGCCTGTATCTGTTAAAAGATATTGAAATATGTATCTGTGTAAAAAATATTAATAACAAAGCTTATGAATTAGACTTCTTATTTATACCTTCAGCTGTTCGTTTTTTTTTTTTCATTTTCTAACAATCTAATTTAATCCTGCGAATTTTTCATTAATTCCCAATATTTCGAATCAGGCAAGTTCAGATCAATGTACTGAAATTCCAACCGAGGATGAACATTTACAACAGTACAGTATTGAGTAAGTCTACAGTATTAAGTTATTAAAACAATTTACTGATTTTTCAAAAAACAAGCGTCGTTTCTTATATCTTTCCAAGTTCAAAATATCGACGTCACTGCACAAACGAGCTGCGTGCAATTCGATTTTATTTTTCTTTTTTTTTCAATTTCCCAGAACTTTCAAGATTTGGAGCTCTGGTTATTGCACCGAGATCTTCAATTACTCGCGAACAACGAGAATAACTCTCGTGGCGCGATCTGCGTCAGCCGAAAATAGCCGATTCTCAAGATCTGACTCACTCGATTCGAACGTCGAATTAAATCTCTATATTTTCAACTGGTTATCGAGCTGATTTAGACGGTCGTTGTGCGTACTCACCGCGGCTTTGTTTCGCCCTTGTCTGCTCTATTTGCCGCCCAGACTAATTATAAGACACGTCACGCTCGCAGCGTGAAAAAAAAAGCACCGGTCTATTTTGATAGAAACCGGCCTTTCTCTCCAGCGCGGAATCTGGACCGCACGATTTACGCGGTCGTTCAACTTGCAAACATCCTGATTAATCATCCTTTGATCGCTTCTTGCGTCAGTTTACCCATCGTTTTGTTTCAACCGTTCTTTTGTTTCAACAGAACGCTCAACAATCGATTCGTTGTTGTTTCGTGAATATCGTTCCTGGTTCTTATTTCCATCGGGAAGACCGAGGTCTTGTTTTCGTCTCTCTGTGTACAGTTGGCAGCTGAAAAGGCGAATACTTTGAAGAAGAGAAAGCTGAGAGCCGGACGAAACTTTGTTAGCTTCAGGTTTGAGGAGAGTTGATAAATCATTATTTCTTCGACGAGTTGATTTTAGTACTCTAACATATTGGAAATATCTCAATGTTTGATAAAGAAGAAATATTTCCTTCTATCTCTATGCCAAATAAACTTTCAACACCATAACGAATGGGTACTTTAGGAAAGTAATTTTCACTAAAGATAAGCCACGTGCATAATCTGAGACGCTTAAAATAATTAATTTATTCGTTAGAGGTTCGAAGAAAACATACATTGAATGTGTTTTACATTTTTAATGTGTTACGTGCTTTTCATTTGACGTTAAAGTACTCAACGAGTTGACAACTTATGACTCTTGTCTATTTATAACGGAATTGTTAATAAAAAAAAAAAAAAACGAAAGTACTACATACTTAGACGAGAATACCATTGACTGTTATAGTATTAAAGAGTCAAACTTTAGAGGGTAATTTCATCCCTTACACTTGAATCACCACGATGAAAAAAATATAAAATCTACTCTTGTTAACTTTCCTTGCAAGCTTATAAAGTTTCACCTAAATCATCCTTTCCTTGCTAATTACGTTACCTACATAGTTTTTATTATTACAGCAAAACTAAATTAAACTAAACTAAACTACTAACACTAATGCAGTCTATTACAGTTTTGCTGTGATGAACTAAACTAATATTACAGCGAAACTAAACTACTTAAACTAAATTCTCATCGATATCTGATTAAATTCGAACTCGCGCTCGTCGCGAGTCCATTTATTCGAACCTGAGTTAACCTATTATATACAGACGAAAAATCACCAAGGAGAAATGGAACGGCTGTTACACGAACTCCAACAAATTCATACAAACGTAGTTCTGCTGTAGATACGATCGACACGTCTGCATGTATTTTGCTTTCATGCGTCTGTCCACCGTAACAAACTA